GAGCCCTTCTCTCCAGCAGCAGCAACCGAAGGCCGGGCCGGCGGCCTTCTCCACGCTGGACAGGCCCCCAGGGGACTCACCACCTCTGCCGGCAACTTTCCGACGACACTCGTCGGCAGAACTTCCGGGCACCCCACTGAAGCTGCTATCCTCTCCCCCCGTTCCTTCATTTCCAGGAGGAAGATGAAATGCTTCGACCGTTCGTACAGCAACAGGCACAGAGGTTAAAGGACTTGGGAGACGTGCTGGAGTCCAGCTTGCGGAGGCTGAAAAACGATGTCGCCGTCATCGTGAAAAAGAAGAGGGCGAGTTTGCCGCACGCAGAATAGCGCGTACGCAGCCGCTGACAACCCCTGAGCTCTGGGCGAAGCTCCCCCGCGCAGCCTGATTAACTCGGCTACCAGAGCTGCGCTTGCGCTGTGGGCTCAACGCACTCCAGTCATTTCTTGTGCCGCTTCTGTCCTTCAGTTTGATTTACCGTCACGTAGAGATGAATCCACACGCAGGGCGAAGGTGGGCTGGGAGACAGGAGGTCTTGGGGGTGGGTGGTTAGCAGTCTGCGCGCTGGCCCTGGACTGTCTGGGGCTCAGTCCTCTCATCTGTCACTTCCCGACTGTAGCTGGAGGCAAACGCCCCCTGCCCCCCTCCAGCCTCTGTTCCCCGTTAGGCGGAAATGAGAGCAGCACTAACTGCAGATGGGTAACGGATGCAAAGCACCTGTAAAGCACTTAGCACAGCACCCTGGGCTGGGAAAAGCACTTAGAATAGCACCCGGGGCTGGGAAGCACTTAGCACAGCACCCTGGGCTGAGAAAAGCACTTAGAATAGCACCCGGGGCTGGGAAGCACTTAGCACAGCACCCTGGGCTGAGAAAAGCACTTAGCTCAGCACCCGGGGCTGGGAAGCACTTAGCACAGCACCCCACAAACCAAAGCAGCTGATAAGCATCTGCCACTGATATTTTGATGGTAAACAGTTTGAAAGTTCAAATAAAGCTGTTGTGATGAATTTCTTGCTGTCAGACCTGGAGACTTAACAGTTATTTCAAGCCTCTCCTTTGGTATCCTTGCTCTGAAAACAACCACTTATTTTGCCTTCATGAGTTTATCTGAAAATGGTTCAGTGCTGCATCGTGGACCCACGCGATGCGGGTCCGCAGGGCCAAGGCTGAGACCTTCGGGAAGATCTCCCGACAGGTAGTCGATCTCAGGTGATCCTGGTTCCGCAAAGAACTGCCGGGTGGGTCTCCACCGCCGAGGGCTGACGCACTGGGCGCTCCGGCGGGGGTGGGGAGGGCTGTAGAGAGACCTCCTGTGGCCAGAGAGCCCCTACTGGTACCAGCAGCACTAAGGATACTGAGACTCCGTGAGCATGTACGTGTGCCGGGCTCCAAGCTACGTGCTCAACGCATTAGCCCATTTCACTCATTACCATCCTATGAGTTTGGCACAGTTATCTCCCCCGTTTTGAGGTTTTACATAAGCAAGGCCTGTGCAGGCCTCTGAGTGAGCAGAAGTCTGCAGGCGGCGTTCTGGACCACCGTGCCCTGTGCACAACTGTCCCAGGTTGGGGCGGCGGGAGGGAGGCTGGGCTGATTTGTGTAAGAAACCAGGACGGAGGAAATAGACGTGACAGCCCCAATCCTTGCCCCCTAAAGTATGAAGTTAGGGCGATCAAACAGGATGAAACAAACTCTATGGCAGGCCAGCTATCAAGGCCTCCAAGAGGAGACTCCCAGAAGCAGGGAGTCTGGGCTGGTGATTTCTGCTTAATACTAGGAACCAGGGGCTAATCGAGGAGGCCTGGGTGGGGAACCAGGGGCTCTGGGGCAGGACCAGTGTACGCACAGCAACTAAAAAGTAACCTGAAACAGTGAAGCCCAAGTGTGGAGCTCTGCGTGCTGATGGCCGCAGGGACCGGGTCTGCAAAGCAGCAGGGAATCCTGGAAAGCCTGGCAGAGAGGCCGAGGGAAGCAGGAATGGCTAATACCTCGTGGACTGAGCCTCGGCGTTCTTTGCCAGTTTGCAGAAATAATTGCAGAAGTAACAGGCTTTCTGCAAAAGGGTGGCTGGAGGAGCCTCAAGGTTTAAAAGGATACTCTGGGGGTGCCTGGCGGGGGGGGGCTTAGTCAGTTAAGCATCTGACTTCGGCTCAGGTCATGATCTCACAGTTCATGAGTTCGAGCCCCACATTGAGCTCTATGCTGACAGCTCAGAGCCTGGAGCCTGCTTCGAATCCTGTCTCCCTCTCTCTCTGCCCCTCCCCGACTTGCACTCTGTTTCTGTCTTTCAAAAACAAATAAACGTTAAAAAAAATTTTTTTAAAGATAATCTGTATGAGACACACTTGTATCTCAGGCTGGAGGAGGCCCACGCAGGTTGTGCGCACCAGCATCCACCTCAGAGCAGGACACAGCCCACACACCGCGAAGCTGGAGAGAACACCTAACAACGTGCAGCCTCCCCCAGCGGGTCCCAGATGCACATCTAACCCGGATCAGTCGGCTCCAACCTGCAGACCCCCGGAATACAAACTGCTGGGGGCCGCTGCGGACCCCAGCGTCGTTCTAGGATTCTGACACGTGGCCACTCTGTTGCTCCTGAACACCTTCCTGATTTGGGAGAAGATAAGAACTTAGTTCAAGGTCCCCCAAATTAGGGCAGAGCTGAGGGCAGAGGATGGGCAACACCCACACCGCCAGCATGAATCTCCGTGTTCACTTAGGCGCCCTCTTCTGTACAGGTAGCACAGAAGGGCTGCTCAACACCATTAATTCTCCTCTCGATACCACGCTTCTCCCTGCAGAGCAGAAGCTTCATGAAGGCAGCGGCTGCCCTCTTCGTGGCACAGAGCCCCGGGTATGTGTTTATTTTACGCTTATTACAAAAGGAAAAGTCTCTGCCTTATTTTAGGGCTTCAGAAGACAACCTGGTTAAATACAAAAAATAAACAGGAGAAAAATCCTGGTTAGGCGGTGAAAGTGGGTGGAAACTTACCAGCGATACCCATGAAACCAATCACAGGTTCGGAAGCAGAGAAAGCAGCGGCACAGGCGAGACCACTTGGGGGGGGCGTGTCTGCCACCACCTCAAATACTTAGGTCCAAGCACAAAACCACCGTTCCATCGACAACCCTTTATTATTCAACTTAGGGAATAGTCAAAAACTCAGTTAGTGTGGATGGGCGAGAAACTAGGCTAACATAGCAAAAAGTGCGTTTTCCTTTGGCAAAGGCCCAAACAATACGTAGAGACACTCATCAGAAGGGGAGATCCCACTCAAAATCAAGGTGAGGAAAATAGCAGTTACTGCCTTACAGTAACACCAGCCTGAGTGCCTCATGGGGAGTCTGTCAGCAACACAGATCAAGACACCCCCCCACCCTCTAGTCCGCCAGCTGACTTATAAGCATTGACGATGAGCTCTTCGATGAAGAAGTCAAATATCGGTTCTGTTCCACGAGCAATAAAATCACAAAGTCAACAAAGATTTGAAATTTAGGGCAAGCTAGTACAATTTCCTGCTTTTAATGTGCACGTATTTTAGATCTGACAACTTTTTCACGTGTAGCGTTTCAAATTTCAAACAAAAAAGCCATGAATTCATGCATGTCCTGCCTTCAGTCAATTCTTCCAACGTCTAGACTTCAGAGCTGCTGATGACGCTAAATTCCATGCCACGTTGGTTGAGTCTGTCAATCAACTTTGTTCTGAAGAAGGCGGCTCCTGGGGTGAAGACCCCGCCCCTGTAAGACAGAACAAGGAAAACAGTGCCCAAGGCCGGTCTCCAGGCCTCCCCTCTGCTAGCGTGACCCGCTGGAGAAGCAGCTATTGAGCCAGCAGAACTCCTGAAACCGTTGTTCCCTCATGGACACGTTTGGGTTCCATTCTGAAAATGAGCCAACGAACAAAGGAGCTACAAAATCGGGACGAAGCTAGCAGCCCCAGCAAACCCGTCCAGACTGGCCCAGCCCCCAGGACACGGCTGTGTGCTCGAGGGGCAGTGAGGGCCATCAACCCAAGGGACTCCTGCTGCTCATAAAGCCAGTCCTCGGAGTCAGGAGGATAGAAAAAGGACCTGAGTGAAATAAACTTAGGCAATAAATTATTATGAAAGCATAAATAAGGCTTAAACTGAATGGAAGAAGTTTCTTTAACTATAATGACTAACATTTTAAAAAATACGTTAAATATTTTCAAAGGGTATAGAGTTGACGCTTGAATAACATGGGTTTGAACTGCGTGGGTCCACTTACACGTGATTTTTTTTACAGTGTAGTACTATAAATGTACTTTGTCTTATGATTTTCTTAACATTTTCTTTTCTCTAGCTTGCTTGGTTGTAAGAATGTAGTATAATATATGTTAACAGTAAGCTATTAGTTAAGTTTGGGATGGGTAGTTAAAGGTTACACATGAATGGGGTGCCTGGGTGGCTCAGCTGGTTGAGCGTCCGACTTCGCCTCAGGTCACGATCTCACGGTTTGTGAGTTCGAGCCCCACGTCGGGCTCTGTGCCGACAGCTCGGCGCCTGGAGCCTGCTTCGGATTCTGTGTCCCCCTCTCTCTCCATCCCTCCCCCACTCACACTCTGTCTCTCTCTCTCTAAAATAAACAAACATTAGAAAAAATTTTTAAAAGTTATACATGGATTTTCGACTGCCCGGGGGGGTCAACTATAGAATTATTTGAAAAAATCTAATGAGACTTCGCTTTATACACTGTTTATGTCCGTCACTTAATACCGTTTCGGGTCATATCTACATTTATTTGTTTCTGAGTTTGCGGGCCTATGGCTCATTTGTAACGCTGGCCTACTTCTACAGAACAGTTAAAGGCTCCAGTGACAGAGCCCAATCGATAATCATCTAGCCAGCCTGCCATGAATGAATCCACACATGGTATCAGGGCCGCCCATGGCCAGCTGGGTATCATCAGCACTGACTAGAGGCTCCTGATAATACTATTTAACAACGAGGGCCTTTATAGCGTAGCTGACTCCAGACCTGAGCTGTTTTTGCAAGGAACTAAAGTCAACTTACGTGACTCTCATACTTCCTGTCTCCTCTCATTTATCTATCTCTGCACTGTTCTCAGAGGCCACTAAGACACGGTCCTTCTTACAAATTTAATTTACCTCTATCTTTGGTTCAAAGGGAACGTGCATGCTTATGTGCAGACCCACTGCCTGAAAACAGCATCAAAAGAAGCGAAAATATAACGCGGATGAAAAAGGCCTCTTCGAATGAGAAGAAAACCAGACTTACATGCTAGGAAGATCAGAGGCGTCATTTAGAAGAGTCATAGCTGCCTGGACCATGGCTATGGGGGTAGCCACATAGCCAGGCTCTGCGGAAGACAGATGATCGAAGAAAGATGTTAATGCATTCGGCAACACTCAAAAATCAAATGGGAGGTTTTATTCTGACACTTGATTTTGGCTCAGGTCAGGATCGCACAGTTTATGGGTTCAAGCCCCACATCGGGGCCCGCGATGACAACGCGGCACCGGCTTAGGATTCTTTTTCTCCCCCTCCCCCACTAAAGCTCACGCTGTGTCTCTCAAAATCAATAAACTTAAAAAAAAAAAAGATTCAACTTTTTAAAGAAAAACAACTGAGTAACTTTAAAAAGTTTCTAAGCAAGGGGAACCTCAATGTTTACAGTTCGGTCAAATAATAAAAATACAGTCAATTTATCTTAAGAAGCCTGGTGGGAATTTGAAAAGAAGGCAAGACACAACGATATCTTTGCCATCTGGCTTGACTGAAACTGCAAAGCAGACCCCCTTTGATCTACCAGAGGTGGTGGTAATTACACTTATAATTAGGCTGTAATTCACAAGCAGAAGTGTCTCCGCACCGCTCTGTAAAATTGACAACGAAAGTTCTTGAGCTTTTTTGGGTGACAGACCCTTTTAGCCACCCATCAAAAGCCTGCATCCTCCCCAGGAAAACGCACATAGCACACACATTTTACAAACAATGTAGGGCTGTTCAAAGACTGCAAAGAAACCTTGGCCCACAGCTTTATGTTACGATTATACTGCTTTAAAATGACCCTTGAGTAGGAGAATATATATCAACCAGCCCCTTTTCTTATCAATATTAAAATATGCTGTTCAGAATTATTAAATAATACTAAAAAAGAAAACCAGGGGGAGGGATACACTAACACAATTAGATTATAACAATGTCAATCCTTCCTTTAACAGAATAATTTATATTGTTACTTAAATAACTTGTGCAATTTATTTCTAAAATAATTAAGCTCTAAGAAAAAAATATCATAATACTGCTTTATACCTTAGGACAACGTAAAACGCCCCAGCACTCTTATGTCATATGTGAAATACCTGGTCCTTTCACCTGAGTACAAATTCTGGTATTTGGTTTGCCCTTCTCGGGACCAAAGCCTTGGCTGTATCCTTGACCAAAGAACCTCAATGTAAATGATGAGCCATCCATCTGAGGAAAAAGCAAAGGCCTTATTTATTAAAGATGTCATCTCCTTCCTAAACACAGTAAATATTCTATTTTGTATGAGACATTTTCAGCAGGTGAAGACATCAGTATTCTGCCGGAAGACCCTACCATCCTTGAAGCATGGGGCAAAAATCAGTTCTTTGAAGACACAAGTTTTGATGACGGGTGTGTTGCCAGGGGAGGGAGGTGGTGAGGAACTTGGATGCGGTACAAGTTCGGTTCCTAGGCTGTGGCCTACACAAGGACGGCACCACTGAAATAGTCGTTTCAGAGGACAAGCTGGAGGCAGTTTTTATTTTAGGACGGGGGTAACGGCAGAACATGATAATCTGGTTTCACACAGCCGTTTGAGGAGACAAGACAAAAACAGCCAACAAGTAGGGGCACCTGGGTGGCTCAGTAGGTTGAGCATCTGACTCTTGACCTTGGCTCAAGTCATGATCTCATGGTTGTGAGATTAAGCCCCACGTTGGGCTCCACGCTGGGCATGAAGCCTGCTTAAGATTCATTCTCTCTCTCTCTCTCTCAAAAAAGAACAACTAGCCAACAAGTAATGGGAATACAGGCCAGACAGAATTGACCCCCTTGGAGATATAAAAACCTGATTCAAAAAATTAAATTCTGTAGGACTTATCCAAGCATCCTTCACAATCACTAAATTTAGAAATAAGGTAACAGAATTCAGTTGTGGTCGACCAATTTTTATTAATGAGACATAATTAAAATATGATCCCTGTCTTTTCTGGAGCTGATAGTTTAGTGAGCACACACACACACACACACACACACACTCAGATCTAATAAAAATATGAGACATGAATTAAAAGATGCAGGACGAGTTCAAAGGAGGGCATTATTAGATCTACTGGGGAAAATGGGGCAGGGTTTTGAAATGTGTCCTGTCTCTCTCTCTCATGGAAGTTTATCACACAGAAAGGTAGGGTGGTTACCAGGAAGGAGAAACCATCAGTCAAAGGCAAGAAGGTATGTGGCATCACAGTGGACCGCAGTCTAACATGGCTAGAACACACAGTCCAAGAGGAGAGGGGTGGCACTCGTGTTATCAGAGGTGCAGACAAGGACAGACACACGTGCTAGCACGTGTCCCCTCCCCTGCCTGATCACAGCCTCTCAGGCTGGGCGCGTATTCACTGTTACAACAATTTTCAATATGGTCTCCAGGCTGCTACTATCGACTCAGCAGGATTGGCATGAAAATGAAACCCATCTGCCGTCCAGCACCAGATGATGAAGGACCTCACTCCTGCAGAGACGACTTCCATTCATTGGCACTCCAGGGGTGTGAACCAAAACCACGCAAATCTGACCTGGAACCCACCTACCTCCACCCCAGTGATCAAAACCTTGGCAGCACATTAGCATAACTGGCCTTTTAAAAAGCCCACTGTTCAGGCCACATTCCAGACCAAACAAACTTGAATCTCCGCCATCAGTTTGGGGCTCTTTCTCCAAGGTGAGAACCACTGCTCATATTTCCAGGCCCTGCTCCCATCTACTGCCTCAGAATGTCCTGACGCAGGTTCGGGACAAGTCTTTGGAAAAGCTCCCTGGGGGTGGGGGTGGGGGGTCCTGATCAAGTCCTAGGTAAGAATCACTGCACGTGCCGCAAGTCAGGGAACCAGGCTGAAGAAGGCGGCGACGAGGTCAGATCTGTCTTAGACTGTGCACAGTAGTGGGGACAAATACTTACAAATCACCCATCTGATAAGGGATTAATATCCATACACACGGACCACCAAAAACTCAACAACAAAAACGCAAACAACTAATTCAAAAATGGGCAAAGGACTTGAATAGGCATTCTCTGAAGGCAACCTACAAATGGCCAATAGGCACATGAAAAGATGCTCAACATCACTCATCAGGGAAACGCAAATCAAAGCCACAATGACATTTCACACCCGTTAGAACTACTATTAATAAAAACACAGGGGGCGCCTGGCTGGCTCAGTCAGTGAAGCGTGTGACTTTTGATGTCAGGGTCGTGGTTTAAGCCCCATAATGGGTACAGAGATTACAAAAAAAATAAAATAAAATAAATTAAAAAAAAATAAATAAATAAAATAAAATAAAATAAAATAAAATAAAATAAAATAAAATAAAATAAATGAACTTAAAAAACAACGGGGAAACAAGTGTTGGCAAAGGCTATGGAGCAACCAGCACGTCCATGTGCCATTGACGGGAAGATAACATGGGTCGGTGCGCTCAAAGGGTCTGATGGCTCCTCAAAAAATTAAAAATAGAATTACCATAGGATCCAGCAATTGCACTTAGGGATATTGACCCCAAGAACCGAAAGGAGGATCCTGAGGATATATTTATACACCCATGTTCCTAGCAGAATTATTCACGGTAGCCAAAGGGGGAAGTAACCCCAGTGTCTGTGGATGGATGAATGGAAATGTGGTACGTATGCACACGGTGTGTGTGTGTGTGTGTGTGTGTGGAGGGCATGTGGCAGGGGGGTCTGTGTGTGTGTGGTATGTGTGTCTGTGTGCACGCGGGTAAGGGGTGTGGGGGGGTTGTGTATGCGATATTGTGTGTGTGTGTGTAGGGGGTGTGCATGTGTGTCTCTTGTGAGTGTGTGAGTGTGTATGTGTGTGTGGTGTGTGTGAGAGTGAAAATGAACTACTATTCGTCCTTAAAAAGGAATGCAATCTGACACCTGCTACAACCTGGATGAACCTGGAGGAGGTCACGCTGAGTGCAATAAGCCAGTCACAGAAGCACAAGGACTGTGTGAGTCCACACGTACGAGGCACCGAGAATGGTCCAATTCAGAGAGGCAGAGAGGAGACCGGTGGTTGCCAGGGGCTGGGGGGAGGAGGAAAGGCGAGTTGTCGTTTAACAGGGACAGTTCTAGTTCTGCACGAGGAAAAGGCTTGGAGACGGGTGGTGATGGCTGCACAACACACAAATGTGCTGTGTGACCACACGAATTTGCATAATATGGATGTTTTGAATAACAATATAGATTTGATACCACTGAACGCTTAAAAATGGTTAAGATGGTAAATTTTATGTGCCGTTGGGGGAAGAGGGAAAAAGGAAGGGAGAGGAGTCAGAGCCTCGTAAGGCGGGGATGATGGGTTTGGAGCAAAATCTAGAATGATGCCTATGTCTGTGACTGGACAGATGACGGTGCCACCAACTGAGCTGGGAAGTAAAAGAAGACGGGAGTTTGGAGGAAAGAAGCTCAGATTCCGCCACCTTCAGTTTTCAGCAGCTGGGCGTGGAAGCTGGAGATCTCAGGGGGTCTGCTGACCAGGCGCAGGGGGAGAGGG